TCACACACTGACCCGGGTTTGTCTGATCCCAGAACAATGTCACACGGCAGTCTGTGCAGGCTGACCTCAGGAGCACAAGAAGAAGGAAATGAAGACGCACGCACGCAGCAGTTATGACACTGACCTGGCGTGCCATGTGGCGCATGGTGTTTGGAAAGGAGAGAGAGGGAGAGAGAGCAACCAACAACCTGTATACCAACACTACTGAGACACAGGCCGCAGCTTAGAGTCGACGAAAAGAAGAAAACACACACACACACACACACACACGAGTGCTAACGACAAGTTAAAAAACTCCACCGTGAATCATTAAGTTTACACTTTTTAAGTGAGTGCTTTTCTTGTGCCCACTTCCTGAGGTGCCGGGTTTTTTTTTTAGTGCTCACTCTCTTTAAAGTATAATGACACATGTATACACAGTAGAGACATATTTATTTAAAAATAACACAACTCTAAAGAGCCTCAGTGACATTAGATTTCCCTAAACTGACAATGAGGGTGTGATTACACCATACAGTCACTATTGACTGAGCTCAGACAGCAGAGCTGCTGCTGCTGCTGCTGCTGCTGGAGGAACATGCTGAGGTGGACGCCCTTAGAGACGCAAGTCTTTAAAATCCTCTACCATCTAAAGTGAAGTATTCAAATACTTCAAGTTTAAAGTTGGTCTCTTGCTGATAAGAAACTTTAGTCCAGAGCAGCGCAATAAGTAGATGAGAATCAACCAGTAGGTAGATTCAGCAAAAGGGAGAGCTGAAAGATCATGAGGAAGTAGAATAAAAAAATGAAAATAGAAATATAATTCTATAGTCTGTAGTGGAGGTGTGTGTCGGCAAGAATCTGACGCCACGATACATATCGCGATACAGAGGCAAGGAAACGATATATTGCGATACTATAGGCACAGTTGATGTAAGTGACAAACTGGAGAGAGTTAATCTTGCGATACTATAGGCACAGTTGATGTAACAAACTGGAGAGAGTAAATCCAATATACTGTAGGGGGAGTGTTTTCTCATTCCAGTGCTGCTTCCGTTTTTTTTTTTTACAGAGTAAATTTGCACAGTTGAAAGCAACAAACTCCTGTGTATATTTGTTCCTACTCCTGGTATGAGGCTGCCCTGCCTGCATTCTTTAACCACCTGTGGTTCAAATGTTAAGATTAATTTTCAGTACGTCTTAACTGCTCAGAAACACACACACACACACACACACTATAGCTACATGAAGCAGGAAGAACTTCCATGACCTTGAAGCAGGCGGGTCATCAGCACCAAATCACCTGTTTACATAATTTTTTAACAACACACAAGTGGAAGCAAACAAACCTGCTTATCACAACACTTGTTTTAAAGAGCAGACAAAGAACCAACAGAAACACTGTGCTGCATTCAAGTCACTTCGCCCGTGCTGCTGGGAAATCCATGCCTGTGCAGAGTTTGTTCTGAACAAATAAAGTAGATCCTCATGTATAGAGTAGATTAAACAAACAAACCAAAAAAAAAAAAAAAACAAACACTGCCGAAGAAAAGCCTTCTCTTTCTCCCTGCATCCAATGGTTACATAACACAGGGCAGGATATTGAAATTCATTTTCAGTCATGCCTGAACACATCCTGCAACGTTCAATGACTACAGATTATTAACGCCGTTCATTTTCTACAATTAACTGCTGCTAAAAGTAGTTTAAAAAAAAAAACTAGAAGGAGACGGATCAAGACGTTACTCAAGCAACAGTCGAGAACAGCCCTTTTTTTTGGTTTTTTTAGTATCCATCAAGACACGAAAATTAATTTAAAAGGAGGGTAAAAAAATAAGAGGCTTGTAAGAGGAACAATAAAAAAGTGTTTTGTTTTGTTTTGATTTAAATGATTCCGTGAGAACGCTGTGACATTTAATTAGAGGTGACATGGGGTTAACAAGTGATCGTGTTCCATAACAGCTTTGTTCACAGAGTTGCAATAACGAACCAAAAAAAGCTGCTTCCACGAGCACTGGTTAATCATTCCATGGTTACCTAACGAAGCGTGAACACGTAGAATTTGAAGAAAGATACTGTGTGTGTGTGTGTGTGTGTGTGTGTATATATATATATATATATATATATATACACACACACACACACACACACAGTAACAACAACAACAACAACAACAACAACAACAACAATAATAATAATAATAAAACAATGTCAAGCGCTGGTAATAAAACTATATGTTTATCAGTTAATTTTCTCAGTGAAGCCAACTGCCGTTTTCTAATTAACATCAATTATTAACCGATCATTGAATTATACATCAACAGTTTGGCTACTGATCAACGACGTTGATGTGATGTGTGAAGTCTCTGTTTCTCTGCCGTCTTCACTTCAAGGTCAGCGCAAAGATTTGATTTCTACACCATCATGAGGTGTGGAAATAAAATCAACATTTGACGACTAAAGGTACAAGAAAATAATGAGCAGAGAAAATAACACTCACGCTAACCTCACTCACGGGAAAATCCGTTAAAACGACTAGTGGTTTTATAGAAAACGTCAAACTGGGAAAAAAATAATTAAAATTTAAGTGCTAACTTTTCAGAGTAGTGGTCATTTTATATAACCACTTACCTCATTGTAAAACGGTGAAACTTTACATTAAAGTGAATAAAGTACACAGTGAAGCCTGTTTTTCATATAACAATTCAACTTTTCCAGTAAACGGCCACACAGTACTTTCAAAATAAAAGTATACAGTAGAATTCCACTCTGGCTGTTGATAAAAACGTCGATCCAAGAATGTGCCACTCACTCTCTCTCTCACACACACACACACACAAGAGCTACGGCTCAAGTCGTTGTTGCTGTGCACCCGGAGGCCCGCGGACCACAGTATAAACCTCCAGCACCAGAAAAACAAGACAAATAAAAACTGTAGTGAAGTAGTACAGGGGTTACGCGCGGATGGAAGAGAATAAAAAAGTGAAAGAACAGACACTGGGTCTATTCCAAGAGGTTTGGAGATAAGAGGGGGGTGAGGAGGAGTGACGAGCCGGCAGGCTAAAGCCGATTGACCGAAATAACCCAGAATAGTAGACGCGGTGAGCGGACAAAGCTCTCTTTCGCCTCCAGTTAGGAGAAACAACTTGAAGGGTGAGATAAGGCTGAAGGAGCTGCTGGGAGGCGGACGCGCCCCCTCTGCCTCTCCCCTCCATGTCCTTGGAGCTCGGATGGAGAGAGTGGCCGCATGTCTGCCGACCCACGCCTTCGCCTCGCCTTCGTGCGCAACTACAACTGTACCCGATTTATCACCAATTTATTTTAATTTTTTAAAAAGAAAAATAAACAAGTAGAGCTAAATGAATTACATCGACCATGTGGCACAGCCACGGCGGCTGTGTGTGTCCGCTCAACTGGGTAAAACAGCAGCCGGAGTCGGGAAGGAGAAGGTGCCATGGTGGCAAAGTCCCGGCACGGCGAGTCAGCGGAGCCACACTCACAACACTCACAACCTCTCTTTACTACGCGTTTACTTTATTTATTTATTATTATTATTATTGAACGGATTTATATACATTTCCTGATTCAAATAGAAGCAAAAATCCCTACCAGAGCCCGGCGCCGGTCCGAGTATCGCGGGAGTATCCCAGCCGAGACAACAGGGATCCAGTCTGTGCACAGACAATAAAAAATGGGGCGCAGCTGGCAGTGCCACCGGATGTCCAACATTAATTGTCAGATACGGCCAATTTCTGAGCTAATGACTCGGCTGCACCGTCCGTCTGCTGTCACACCGGCCCAGTGCTCCGCTTTTGCAGCTTGTTCCGTTGAAACAATAAGAGTTACGGCCAGGAGACAAGTTTGGCTGCTGTTTGTCCACCTGCAGGTGCTGCTGCCGGTGGTTGGTGGTAATGTAACAGCCGAGGCAGGATGCACCGGCTTCAAAACATGAAGAATTAACCCTTTCAGACGAACACTGAGCACCGAACAGGGGAAAAAAATAAATAAAACCGTCAGACGAACACTGAGCACCGAACAGGGAAAAAATAAATAAATAAAAACTCGAGCATATGTCAGAATTATGTAATATTTTACAAACTAGTAAGTTATTGTCGATGAGTTTCTACAAATGTGAATAAATGAAAAAAACTGTTATAGTCCACAAATGGTCCAACACTGGGACCTACACTTATAATAGATATGACCGAAATACCTTAATTTAACCAAACATCAGCTAATGTAGACTGATGACATTGTACCAACATTTCTATTTATTTTATGTTGTGGCTGCGTTTCCAAAGCCTGGGGTCAGGGACCCACAGATGGTTTGGGGGCTATTTTCAGTCACCAAAATACGAAATAATACATTGAAAGAAGGCAGAGTTCAACATAAATGTTTTGGTAAAACGTCTGATTCAATCATTTCAAAACTACAGGTTTCCATTGATTATTACATATAGCGTTGACCCTTTAGACTGAAGGTCAAGCTGTAATTCTGGCTTCATGTCTAACCCTAACGTCCAAACAACGATGACCAAAAAAAAAATGGCAGTAACATTTAAAAAAGTGGAAAACGTAAAAGTAAAAAGCTACTACAGTATAATTTAGGGATATATTGGTATTAGCACGTGCTTCTCTGTGTGCTTTAAAAAAAAAACAATGTGCATGACTTCAAGCTAACTGATACAAACCAAGTTAAGAGAGAATAATGACATAACCGTTTTTAACGGTTTTGTAATATGTAGGTGAAACGATACAAATTTAAGGAAGTCCCTATTCAAGAAAACCCTGATTAATATACCCTTTTTAAATACTTAAACACAGTATGGAATACACAGATGCTCATTACAACATGCATCTTCAACTACGTCATAAAAGTACTTTTAGTTTCGTGGTACCGTGAATTGAAACATCGACTACAGCTAGCCGATGTTTTTTTTCTGTTTATACTTACAATAATAGAAAAAGAGCAGTTTAAAACAACTCTTCTGCTGCTGCTGCTGGTCCACCTGCAGGTGTTTCTCTAACTTATTGTATTAATGTGTGGCCAGAACTCACACGTTACACAGCACATTAAATGACAGGTAAAACAAACGATATACATTTGTTTTTGACTAAATACGCGCAGGAATACAGCAGATGTTTGCGAATCCACTGTCTGTAACTGTGCGTAACGGGAAAAAAGTTGGTTGCGTTCAAGTACAGGCGCCAGTTTTGGCCACACGATAGTGTTTCATCGAAAATATTCTCTTTCGTATTTAAATATAACTCTTCGAAAATATCCCACTTCTTGTGTGTCTTGTCATTGTGATGTGAATCTTTGTGAAAGTAGCCATTTTAATCACAGAGGACCGGCAAAAAGCACAATATTCTTCCTGTGTGTAGTTCAAACGTCTAACATTAATTCCTCAGAGGTTAAACTTCCCATAAACATGGGTGTATCCGTTAACAGGCGCAGAAGTGAAATATCTTCTTGTTTTTTTTACCTTAAAGCGTGTCCTCGGATGTCCCCTCGGAGTTAAGGCTCCTCCGGACCGGGGTAAAATGTCGGACTCGGCCTCTCCGGGTGATTTTTTTTATTGCGCACCATCCATGAGGAGGATAGGGAGGAGGAGGTGTAGGGGAGCCCGCGCGGACAACGGTAGCAGCCGCCGATCACCCTCTGAAACTCCCGGTTAACCCCGGAGCCGCCGCATTCAGGAAGTAAGTTAAGTGTCGCTACCGGGTTGACTGGCGTGTATGGCAGTGAAAGGCGACACAAAAAGACGGTAATAGGCTTGTCAACCGGCCACCGCCGTCGCCACCACCTCACCTCCTCCCCCTTGTGTCTCACCCTCCCCTCTATCCATCCACACGGAAGACCGAAAATGAATGCTGGGAGAGTAACAGCAACCGTGGTACTGATGTTAAGGTGCTTTCTGTATTAATAAAGTTGTTTCGAACGCTCCCCCCTCGTTCCGTGTTTGACATGGTGTCGTCCACTTTCTAAACAAGACGCTGCATTTCTCCACCAGGTTTGCTTTTTTTTATTTTCAAACGAATGAGACGTAAATATAGGGATAAATGCAGGCTTCAATAACTTTTTACTCTGGGAAGGTCCGTATTCACAAGTTCAGAGCTGGGGCTGCGCTGAATAGGAAGTGTGTCAGCTGTAAAAACAGTTGCAGAACTAATCTGTGTTTTGTTTTTTTCAGTTTTGAGGGGAGTCGAGTTCACGGCTAATCTATTTTATTTAATTGCCAGTTTATAACATATCAACTTCCGTCTGATGGATTTCAAAATAAAACGCACAATAAACTATACTCAAACATTGACCGTTGGTCTCTGGAATTCTTTCGAATCTCATTCGATAACACGAATGTGATCTAACCTTTGTTGTCGAATGTAACTAATGTTTAGTTGCCTGCTCCAAGTTGCTTCTCTGTGAATACGCGACGTTGTTTTTTTTACATTTTACACATTTACGAGTGACAACATAATGCACAATATACAAACAGACAGACCACAATGGATTAAAATAACCATAATACATTGTTCAGTGATTAAACGGGCATGTCTGTTTATAATTGAGTTACAATACAAATCTGTGATATCCACAATTTACGTTGTAAAAAGACGATAAAAAAGAAATAACCACTCAGTTTGTTCTACACTTCCGAACATAAGCTAGTCGGCTTTTAATATGAAAAACAAATAACCATTTTACGGGTTTGTTGTCGTCAACTATTGAGAACTTGACGTGAGTTGTATGCAGTGAAAACGGATATGGTTTGTATCAACGACTCGGTGTCGTCAGAGGGGCGGGGTCACACGACCCATGTTTAAGGACACCGGGAGTGCCGAGGCTACGAACCCAATGACCCCAGCAGCCCCCCGGGAACTTTAAGAAAGAAAAGAAAAAAACCCAAGCTGGAGCCGTTTTAGCTTCTCACCGACAGTTCAGCGGAGAAAGAGAGTTTTTCATGAGGCCTCCTGAAATGATTTACCGAAACTTAACCGCCGCCCTATAATCCGATTTAATTTCCTTCTCAGTTAAGGAAGTCCTGAATAACCGTTGGTCGCAAATGGTGGCAGAAAATCACGATCCTGTTCACGGATGACATGTCAAAGGGTAAAACAACTTTACCGTTGTTTCTTTTTATTTGGAAAGTTTACTGTAGACGGTGTCGGTAGGTGCACCAAGAACGCAACAAATATTTTGAGGGTAATTTATTTGAGTCTT